CCCCCCGGCTCTGTCAGCAGCCTTCTCCTTTGGAGAGGTCCGGGTGATGCCAGTGCTACCAGGAGAGACAGGGCTCAGCTGGGAGGCAGCTGACAGCCGCCCTGGGATGCTGCCCCCCTCTCCCGCAGCTCTGTGCCCTTCCCTGCCCTCCCACAGCAGGACAGCGGAGGTGTCACAATTTGCCCATGGGAAGCAACAGGGTTGCTGCTACCAGCTTCGGTGGGTGCTGACAGATCAGGCCCCACACCCACTGGGATGCTGAGGAGACACCAGCTCATCTCATTCCTCACAAGGCTTAGCTCCAGGCATGGAGTCTGTTATCCCAAAAATGTGGTCTTGGTTATGAACGGCACAACCATGTCACACCCAGAGCAGCCATGTGCTGGCTGCTGCGGTGGCCAAGAAACAGGACACTGAGCTCCAAACCCAATGACTGACAATACAAGACGTCACATCTTGTGCTGAAGCCCCGTGTCCCTGGCTGGTGCTGGGAAGGCTCCAGCTCAGCTAGTTCAGCCCTCAGGACAAGCCCAAGCAGAGATCCGTCAGCAGAGGACATGCTGCATGGTAGGGTCCCCCCATCCTGCTTCCCAAGGACTTGCTCCCAGCGGAAATGAAACGCAGCTCGAGTGTCCAGAGAGAAGCACTGCGAGCAGAGGCACGTACAGAAAACGCATGCACACGTGGCAGAGGGAAGAGACAGGGAAGGATGAACACACTGAGACAAGACAGAGAAGGATGAACTCAGGTCTTTTTTCATTTTCTACACTTATTTTTATTAGACAGATGAATGCATGGAAGCGATGGCCAAGAAACAAAACATACTGCTCTGATTTCTAATGGAAACAAACAATTTCTTGGCTGGCACAAAGCAGAGTTCAGCTTGTACCACGGTCACACTTTGTACCAGGCGACCTTCTTCTCCAGGGACTGAGCAGCAAGGGACCGAGGAGCGGTATGCTGGGTCGTGCCAGCTTAGCCAGCCCGTTAGCAGAACGGAGCCGGCTTCTGCCAGTGCGGGACTGGGATTTCACAAGCACAGGGACTCCAGAGCGTGCAGCATTAAGCCACATCGGGGTACAGCGATGCAAAGCCAAGATGATGAAAAATCAGAGAAAGGCATGGATAGAGAGAACATAAAAAGCAAAGCTGCAGACAAAACAGAAGTAGAATCAGAGGGACTGACTGGAACACACAGATTTGTTATTTATTATTTATACCCTGACTTGATCTTCCACATGTTCCTCCTACACACTGGCAATCCCACCATGCTCAGTGCTCCATGTTACACAAACCCTGAAGAGACTGTAGAGCTCATCACATCCAAGTAGCTTTGGACCAACCCTGCCAAGTCCTTGAGCATCCTTCAGTGCTCTTATGTCAAGGTAAGCTGATGGTGCTCAGTACCTCGCTCAAAAAAGTTGTTTTTCTAAGCAGAATTGAAAAATTCATGGTCTGAGCCAGTCCACCCTTACGACACTGCAAAACTTGCCATTGCTTTCACTGGGAATAGGAGCAGAGAGTTAGCAAGCGGACCCTGACATCAGAGCAAAGGACTCATGCAACTCGGTTTCAATTCCCCTAAGAAGGTTTATCACCGTTGGGTTAACGGAGGTCATGAAAATCTCCCCAGCTCAGCTGTGAAACGAAGGAGGCTCTGCAGTGATACCACATCAGACCACGCTGCCCAGGTTCTACCTCTGATAACACGCACAAGGAGGGCGAGAATCTCTGTTCAAAGCTGTTCAGAACACAGCTATCACCTGGATACCTCCCTGCTTGCAAGCGGTTGGTCTGCATACCCACCGGTACCCAAGGGCTCCCACTCCCATCCAGCTTCATCTCCCCTTTCCTGTAAAATCATACCAGGAGTAGAAAGGGATGAATAATACAAACCGGAGTGAAGAAGCTTCCCGGACATCAGTGCTTCCCACCCAGTCCCTCTGCTTCCCCTAAATTTTAACAAACAAGCTTTTCTGCCCCCTCCAATTCCCTTTACGGGGCTTAGCAGGAATCTTGCCACTTCTGGTAATCATTGGCCTGGTCCAGCCACACTGGGATTTCCCAGCAAAGCCTGGAATCTCCCTGAGCTCTTTAGCACTAACGTAGCATTTTAGGTTGCTTCACTCTAAAGAGCAAATGAAAAAAACCCACTACTTAAAGTTGGAATCAGCTCTTACCACCTCTGCCCTGGTTCCTCCTTGCCTCTGGGCTACAGGCCAGGGACAACCGGAACTACCTCCTGTTCGGTTTTTTAACAACAGAAAGTAGAAGAGCAGGAAAAAGACAAGACAAGAGGTAGGCTGGATTTGATAAGAGACACAAAGCCAGAGCTGCATCTCAGCCCTCTTGTGAGAGACGGCACTAGGCCTGCACAGCTAGCCCTGCGTGCCCAGGAGTCACCCGGAGAGCAGAGCTTTCCCCTGACCATCTCCAACGTGCCCGAGGGGCTTGGGAGTGTCACTGAAACTCAAAGGGTCAACTAAACCCTCAGAAATGCCCATCCTACCATTCTTACAAGAAGTCTACCCCACTCTTCTGCCTGTGGCTGCTTTGCCCTCCTAGGAGCTGCAGGGTACTTGAAGTGAGGGGTGCACTCCTCTGGGGGGGTGCCCAGGGGTGCGCATCCCCCCGGGAGGATGGCCGCCAGCGTGGATGCGTTGTGAGGTGCACCGCCTCGCTGTCCTCCCTGCCAGGTCGCCCCCCCTGCTCCGAGGAAGGCCGATTTGGACCCAAAGGATTGGAATGGCAGAGCTGTACTCTGCCTTGTGCCATCCCAGCTCCTGGAGGAGCAGGAGGCAGGGAGAGGCTGAAGGCATCCCCGCCCCGAGGGGTGCAGGGAGGGAGCTGGGGCCCTGCACCCCGAGTCCGACACAGGCAGCAGCCTGACTCCCGCAGCACCCCCATGCCTGACATGCCTGGGAAGTGACATCTGCTGCTCCAGAAGCCATGGCAACGTGCAGGAAGCAGGCTGCTGGCAGAGCCGGCCTGGGAAACCTAAAGCAGTACTGACACCTTGAGGAAGGGAAAACGAAGCTCAACACATCAGCCTCGGCTTGTCTTTTCCCTGCGGGGCTCAGAGCCTACTTGGGAGGTTCCTTCTGGAGCTGGCTCCTGCGATCCAGCTTGCTCATGACCTGCGTGATGTCCACAGTCGTGGCGGCTTCTCTGGCTTTGGCCTCTTCCTCCTGCTGCCTCAGGATGACGGGGCTGGGGCTGGAGCGGAGGTGACGGCGTCCGAACGGGAAAGCGGAGCTGGGCACAGAGCGAGAGAAGAAGCAGGGCGTTACTGAAACGTAGAAGGGCACCAAAACCTCACCCCTGGTAAGCAGATTTACCAGAGAGCTCAGGCAGGGACAGACGTGCCACCGTCGCCCGCACAAGAAGGAAGGGCAAAGGGGGACAAGGTGGTTCAAAGCAGGACACAGTGACTCAGTGCCACCCATCAGCTACAGAACTGCTGAAAGCATAAAGCCAGTCCCATTCCTTGTCCCCACGAGGGATGACAGAGCCAGGAAACTCCTTTTGTTGTAAGCGTTTGCACCTTACCAACACTCAGTGTGAAGCCAAACTGCCACCAGTGGAATTTTTTCTAGTGCCCTCAGTAAGATGAAGATAGGGACCAGCATGGGCATTTCTGGTGTCTGTGATGCCCAAAAAAACCACCCACTACCTGCTTCAGCAAATCCATGACCAGCAACAGTAGAAACAAGTGCTAAGCCACCTCTGGGTGAGGTACAAACTCTCTGGTTTAACCAGGATGCTGAGTGCCAAGTAGCGAGTCCCCAGAACAGGCCCTGACAAACACGACGGCAGCCACCAGGATCAGCCAGCACACCCCAGGGACCTGGTGATGTGGGGCTCAGGGAAACACCAACCACACCCCAGGCAAGTCAGCAGGAGGGGTTTTTCCACTGACTCGAAATAGGCTTTAGATGAAACAAGTGTGAAAGTCCATGATTCCTCTTTTCTTGCTCACTGAGTTGACGAGTGGAAGAGGAACAGAGAAAGAAGCACACACCCCGTCCGGCTCTGACATCGCACGCTCAGCTTTGAGAAGCGACTGCAGTTCAAGTGGCCTAAATTTGCCATACAACATTCATTTTGGTTGGGAAAAAGCCACTTTAAGCCTACCTCTTGTACGGCCATCTACCTTGTGCTCCCAAGGAGTGTTTGTTCCCAGCGAAACAAACAAGCAGAGCCCATGGAGGACCCTGCAGTGTCATCTCTGACAGCCAACAGGCAGGAGTTTTCCCATGCCCAGTACACTGTGCTCTCTCCTTCCAGGAAAGGAGGCATGATTAATTCAACAATCACAGCCTTTCTAAGCAGACCCAACAGACAAGGCAGCCGAACGATTGTCGATTCTGCCTGCGTACAAGCCACTTCCAAAAGGCTCACACGTAAACAGCATCATCACTCACAAGGGCAGGCATCTTCTTGGTGAAAAATTTCATTTAATTAGGCAAACATCTAAATCATAGTAATTTTGCTGCAACTCAGGCTTTTTCTACCCTTGCTGCAACAAGAAAAACAAAACCCACAATTACATCCAGTTTCACTTGCCTTTTTTTGACAGCCTCTTGTGGCACAACAGCCTTGGCCAGCATTTCCTTGTATATGGGAGATTTTAAATAGCGGCCATAAGAGTCCTACTAGGAGAAAAGAGAGAAACTGGTAGTTATGGGCTGCAAACACCCATATTAAAATCACCACCAAATACAGCTGCTCGGGAGCCACGGAGGCTGGGAACTGGATAATCTCCCCCGGCAGCCCAAGGGACTTTGCATCTTTCAGGCAAATGTAGCTATTTAAACCAATACCCTTTCATCTTGGTGTAAAATTCTCAGGATTTTCCGCCTTACAATAAAGCTTCCCAGTCAGGATCAAGACCAAAAGGTCTAAACTGAGCTTAGCCCAGGCCAGGGATGTCTCACAGTCCCTACGGGGTGAAGTGCTCATTTTTCAAGTGCTGAACTTCTCAGTAACTGGCAAAAATCAGTGTAGTTCTGCTGCGCTTAGTGTCAGCGTGCATTAGTTGCTGCTCTGGCCCATAATGCTCCTTCCTGTTAAGTGTATTCTGTGTCACTCCTAAGAACCACAGCATCATCAAACAGAATCACAGACTGGTTTGGGTTGGAAGGGACCTTAAAGACCATCCAGTCCCACCCCCTGCCATGGGCAGGGACACCTTCCATAGCCCAGGTTGCTCCAAGCCTCATCCAGCCTGGCCTTGGACACTCCCAGGGATGGGGCATCCACAGCTTCTCTGGGCAACCTGTCCCAGTGCTCCCCACCCTCTGTGGGAAGAAGGAGGAGTTACGGGTTGTTTGGGGTCACCACGATCTAATGAAAGCCATGACACACAGTTTGCTGACATCAGCCCACAGTCTGTTACATCAGTCAGACCTAAAAAAGGGTGTCTGTCAACATAAACACAGCAAAACATGGCGAAAAAAATCTGTAAAACTTGAGATGGGCCACATTTTGGTACAAAACTCACGCAGTTATGTGACAAGGGCTACTAACTTTTCCATCCACTGCTAAAATCCAGTTGGACACAAGCATCCCACCTCAGGGACACGTGTTGTGGCACACAGCGTGGCACTAACCAAATGAAGTTCGTAATAACAGATACTTGTTCAAGCTTTGAAAGAGGTGGTGGCCAAGCTGGGGTCAGAAAGCAGGAATTCCAGCAGACACCTGACGCCCACCACCCTGGGGACTTGCTGCCTTGGAGGGAAGAGGAAGCAGCAAAACACAAAGGCCTGAACCAGTGCTTGCTGAAGTCAGCAGCTTTGAGGGGTTTTCAAACAAACACCACTTGAAAGCCACTGCTGGTGGCACACACAGGCCTGGAAAGGCCCAGAGAACCGGGATCCCCCCCTCAGGTTTTGGAAACAAATAACAAACCTTTTTCATCAGCATGTAAATGTGGGTCTGAGCAGCATCTAGAACATAACGATGAGGATGCTTGAGGCCTTTGACCGTGATGCCCATTGTTGTGCCATCAATGTTAATCCAACGCCTTGCTCCGGGAGCCAGGAAAAGCCTGAAGGAAGAGGAATCAACAGTGCCATTAACACCTGGAGAATGCCTGGAGATTCCTCTGTCTATGCGTGAAAGGAAATGTTCCTTCAGCTCCCCACTACAGTTTGCTGTCCCGGTCTTGGGCAGTCAATGTCCTCTTCAACAGTAGGACATGAAGTCCCTTCCTCTTACACTGTTAACCCACAATATAAACCCAATTTTAGCCTGCTGGAAGCAAAGAGGGTCTCTCTGCTCTCCCCGTGGCATCCCCAAGATCTTTGCTATTCCACACCTCTACTTAAATCCTAAGGCCTAAATGTAAGAGTGGAGAAGAGAGAGGAAAAGTAACTATCTAACAAAACAATAGTTATGTTTTCACCTTCAAAAGCTCCTTTCCTACATGGGGACATAAGACAGGCATGTTTGATGGCAGCTTACAATGAAAAGTCTCAGGAATAAATCATTTGGAGAATGACAACACGTGGACAAAGGTGATGGGACTCATGTACCGAGTTTAAGAATGTAAAATTATCACACTCACTTATAAATTTCTTCTGCTTTTTCCTTGACCTTGGACTGGTCTCCATACTTGAGATCCTCACAGGCTTCCCAGAAACTCAGATTCTCTCCTGCACAGCAAGGGCTCCATCAGCAAAGAGTGAGACTGAGGAAAACACAATCCCATTTCCTAACTCCTGAACTGCACCTGTTGGACTCCATACGTGTCGGCCCCAACTCAGTCCCTCCAATTCTTACAGCCTCCTTGAAAATCCCCTTGGGACTGAAGGAGGAAAACAGCTTTCCCCTGCTCCCTGACACCTCCAAGAGCCAGCTCCAGCTCGCCCTGGGCTGTACTTTGTGCCCTGTGCCACTAGATGGTATTGCCTGCCCTGGCTGCACAGCCCTCGCTCCAGTCACTTCGCCCTTGACTTGGTGACTGTCCTGGTCTCAGCTCTGTCACCGTCTTGGCCCACAGCCCTTACTGGGAAGGCATGGATTGCCAGCTCCCTCCGCTGTGCAGCCTAGGCAGGGACACAGCAGACTCACCGCTGAACTCCTTCTTCAGGAAGAGCTGGAAGTTCTGCCGACCCTTCGGATCTCGGATCAGTTCACTGAAATTGAAGGCCCATCGCTCCACGCGCATTCTGGTGGGGATTTCCACTCTGCACGGGTAGAAAACAAACAGCACTGCCAGTTTCATGTGGCCCATCTAATTGGAAGATTAATTAAAACCAAAATGCCCTTTGCTGGAATGCCAAGAGACTTCTCAGCACTCTCTTTTCCAGAATGCTGTAATGAGCTCCTGAAGTCAGCCCACTAAGTAAGCCATAATTAAACAACTTTGTACACAGTGGGATGAGGATTTATCTCGGATTTATGCTGCTCTCACAATGAGGGCCCAGCTTTGCCGGAGGTTTGACTCAGTCCTGTTCTGGAGGAGGCACTGCTTGGTGCCCAAAGCTCTGCTTCTCATAAAGGCATTCTGTGAAGGTATCCTTGGGGGCTGTCTAGTGGGATATCATCACTCTAACAGGATTGCTGCTCTCCAGCGAGAACAGTAATACGTCTGCTTTGCGCCCAGAGATGCCACGGTATAATTAGCAAACACTATCTGAATGGAAAACAAAGGGGGAGCTCAGAGAAGGGATGGACCACCCGTACGTGCCTCCAGACCAAGCTCTCTCCTAAGAAGGCAGCCCAAGGCGTGTCCAAAGATCCAGGGTCAGTAGTTGAACCCTGAATTGCTACACCATTGGCAGCACCTCGTTCAGCTGCCAATGCTAAATGGTTAACACTAAACCAAGTGTTCACCTGAGGGTAACTGGTCATATTCTATGCCTGTGCTAGTAAAAGTGGACCTCACTCATCCAAGGGAGGATTAGACGCACTCAGCAGGGGCTGAGTGCACACTCCCATCATCCATTCAGGAATTTCTGTGATGTTAAGGAAGGCTCCCCCTTGAAGAAGATGCTGGAAGTTCAACATGGAGTATTCCCAAAAGACAGCTGCTTTAGCATGGCCAAGCTGTGTCAGGAAGGGAATGCTTCCCTGCTCATGATCAGAGACCAGACACCATGATGAAATCAGTGGTTCCCTTTCCTAACAGCATAAAGGTCAGTGCAAATCACAAGCTGGCAAAAGAACACAAATGCATACAGTTTTGCATTGAGATCCCAGAACTCAGGGTCATCTGTTATCCAGGGGTTGCTGGGGAGACAGCCAGACAGGATAGGATCATTGGAGAGGAACTGCTCAGAGTACTTCACAAGCCTGCAAGAAAAGCCAACAAAATCAACACATTAACTTGCAATCAGACCCATCACAACTCAATAAATGGTTGCACAGACTATAGATATCCTCAGAGCTGCGGCGCTATCAGCACAGGGGTCTGGAATGGCTCCCCCCTTACTAGAAAAATCGATTCATTAGCTCAATTAATCTTTTCCATTTCCCAAACTGTCATATCCTGAGTTTCTTTCAAAGCAGCGATTTTGTCAGCTCGAGTTCAGGGAGATAGAAGCCTCCTCCATTACCCCCTTTTGCCTCTCCATTTCAAGGAGTTGGGACCAAGCCCCCAACGGCTTCTGTCTCCTTCTCCAGGCAAAGGCCGGGTCCTGCACCATTTTGTGTCACACATTCCAGAGAGGAAAGTGCCAGAGAAGAGGAAAGCAAGTGCTGGATTCGCCCAGGTGGGTTCTCCGCAGCCTTCCCACAGGGCATGGGAGAGCCGAGGGAGCCCTGGGAGAGGCGAGGGAGAGCTGAGGGCACATCCCGGCTTCTCCTTTCCTCCGCTCACCTACCGCACGGCCCATTCCTCTGCAAATGACTCCGAGGGCTTGGCACAAAGCAAAAATGTCTCTGTCCTAGCAGGAACCAGACAAACACTTTTCCTACCTCCTAAGCTGGCCAGACTTGTAATTACAACCGATTTCACTAATGTCCTGGAATTTTAGCTTTCTCCTCCCTTTTTCGTTCTTGAAAAAAATCATCTGGTTTTTGCATTTAAAATTCCTCCCAGGCCAAACTGCTTTCATGTGCTCAAAGCTGGGATCACACTGTCCAAGGACCCGTTGCTAACGGGCACCCTGGCACAGATCCTGCGATTATACACTGCTGCTGCACAAAGCATACCACAGGTTTGGCACAGACGTGCTCGATCCTATCTGCTCACTGGAAATGCCAAGGCATTCAGCACCTGCATAATGCACTCCAATCCATTTATTCTAATCGAGTTACAAATCTAAACCTGTCAACTCAGGTAATATTGCTGTGTCAGTTTAATGATTAATGCTTTGCAGCTCCTCCTAAATCAATGCAATGCTCTGATGCATGAACACTGTCTAGTTGCTGCTCTTAACCTCATCAATAATAATTTGATTTGGACCCAGTCCTGCAGCTGAGATGGAAATCCAAATTTCCTGAGAATTTTTTGATGTAGGCAATAGGCATTATCCATCAGAAGACTAGGACTAATGTGTGAAAAGCTCCATTGCCAAACTATTAAACACCACAAAAATCCTGGCAGGTAGTCAGGTGTCCCCAGCTCCAGCTCACAGATTGGAAAATTGAGGCAGGAGAGATTTAAGTGACCTGGGAGTCAGTGACAGATGAAATGAGCAGAACTGCTGGTGCCTTGCAAGTTGTGGTTTTCAGAAGACAGGACAGATTCCCAGACTCCTTCCATTTCAGTCATCCAGGACTGTCTCCCAGGGAACAGGCCTGAGCACCTCACTTGTCTCAGATTCGATATGGATCTCTGGGTGGCAATGACTGTAAAACAGAGTGGTGGAGTGGACTGTACGTCTAGGCAACTGGCCAGCACACAAGATTCCAGGTAAGAAATGCCTGTGGCAAACACACTAATGATTAATGCTCAGACTGGGAGCTTTGCACTTAATTGGCTTCATCATGAATCTGATCAGGAAACACTCCCACCGAGAAGAGGAATTGCTAATTAATTGCTTGGACTTTCACCAAAAGGCATGTGTTCATAATACAGAACAACCAGAGCCTTCCCCAGCTCTGCTGCCTTCTGCTGAGCATCACCATGCGTGCAGGAACACTCACTGGCTCCCCGCAGGCTGGGGAGCAGGGACAGGAGCGTCAGTCTGTCCACACTGGTTACTCCTGCACAGCACGGACATGCTGCTGCATCCCCATCTCTCTGGAAGTGTCCAAGGCCAGGCTGGATGAGGCTTGGAGCAACCTGGTCTAGTGGAAGGTGTCCCTGCCCATGGCAGGGGGTTGGGACTGGATGGGCTTTGAGGTCCCTTCCAACCCAAATCATTCTAGGATCCTCTACGAGCCTCCACACAGCTGCTTTGCCAGACTGCAGAGCTGTGCTGGGTCCCAAGCGCCACAGTCCAGCCCTGACCAGTCTGAACACGTCTGGATTTCAGAAGGAATCTCAACCGAGAGGCTGGCGCTGCTCTGCAGACATTCGTAACAAAGCTCTAAGGGAGCCTCTTTATCATCACTGGGACTCTGGTCCCTCCTCTGCCCTGTGCCTCCTGGCCCAGGCAACACGCAGCCCAGACAGCACGAACAACACTGTGTGTGGCCACCACGTCGCTTCCCCTGACCGAGTCACCAGCTGCCAGAGCAGAGAGCTTAATCATCCCATTAGGAGATGTGTGTTGAACACTAATTATTGTGTGGACAGAAGGAAATCAGGACTTACCCTCCAAGAGAGACAGAAGATTTCACTCTGGGCTTCATGATGGCCTGCTGGTAGTACATGATCTGAGGGGGATCAGACACATCCATGGTCAGGAGCATAGAGATGGCAAGACAAGGCTGCGTCTATCTCAACCTCAGACATGCCCTCTCCCAGGTAGCAAGGCTAACTACAACAAGGACTGCTTCTTCCCTAATTATTGGATGTCCAAGGAATCAGAGGATCCCTAAACTGTCCCAGTAAAATGGCTGTTTTCACCGAGCTTACTGCAAATGTCAGAAGAGCATTTTGCAATGTGCAAGTAATTAAAAAGCACTCCCTGTGCTATATAAAAATTGGGTAATAGCTACCATTCCAGGCACCTACAAATGCTCTGGATGATTTAGCATGTAATTACCATTGATCCTTGGCTGTCTCTGCACTGGCGCCACTGGATGCATCTCCTGTGATTTCCCCACCACTAATTCTGACCTATTGGATTTTAGCCCCGGTGTCTGTCCTTGCCTGAGCCTCCCCGTCACTGGGAGAGCTGCTGGCTGCCTGCAGCGGCGGGTGCGGAGGCAGGAAACATCCTGGGAGCACACTGACCAAAAGCTCCATGGGGCAGAGACTCCGCCAGCCAACCCCAGGCGTTGTTAAAACAGTTCATCCCCTCCAGAGGGGGCTTTGAGCCCCCATGCAACACTGATGTAAGCAGCATCCATGGGAAGAACACCTAGAAGTGAGGGAAGGACCACTTACCTCCCTCCTATAAACATCCATCGTTTTTTTCTGCAAAATAAAGAAACAAAAGTCATTACATTGGGATGGGTGCTTTCACTTGCCTGTTCTGAGATGTGAAAACACCGCTGCAGGGCTGCTGTTGTGCAGCGCTCTCCAATTAATTCTCATTACAATTAAAATCAAGCACAGCAGCTCAGCTAATCAGGGTATCATCAAAGCTAAGAGCATCCACACACCGTAAATCGTTCCATTAGCTGTATTTACTGTTAGCATTGCTTCTTCCATCACAGGCTGCCTGTATGCCTTCAATTAAGGGGTTATTCTAATGGAGCTAAAATAGATTCGTTTACGAGACACAGATTAGATCATTCAATATTAGCTAAAGGAGACAGGAACCAACACATTGCAAAATATAAACACCACAATTAAAAGCCTCAGAAGCAGTATCTGCTGTGTGAAGGGTGCTTACGCTGTGATTTGAATAATTCTGACTATGCTACATGTCATCCACAAATGAGCAAGCAATTGAAGGCAAGAAAATTAACTGCAGGGTGTTTATTCACACAGCTTCCTTTGAAGCACAGTTACTTTCTTTGAGGTGAACTTGAGGAGGGAGAAGGAAAGGCAGGCTAAGTCAGGGATGCTCCCAGCAAGCCTTTCAAGGTTTATGCAGGGTTTCAGTTCATCTCCCGTTTTAGCCAACAAGATCTGCACCCCAGAATTACTCTATCAAACCAACCCTGTGGCAGACACCTTGGTGAGGTGCAGTTTGTGAGCGATGAGGGATGAAGCATCTGGTACCGAGTGCCACAGGCAGCCTACTTCTCCCTTCTTCTCCCCAGAGAACCTGTGCCCTGAGCTGCCCCTGTTTTGGGAAAAGCAGCACGCTCTCCCAGGGCTGCGCTGTGAGGGCACTACCGCGGGGACACTAGTGCAGACCTGCTTTTGCATTTTAACCTAGTCAGGCTCAGGAGGGAGAAACTACCTATAAACGGAAGAAAAATACGTACGTTTTGCTGCAACTTGGTTCGTTTTGAGAGGGAGCACTCACCATTTCAGCAGCAGGAGCCAGATATGCAGCAGATCAGCCAATCTGTACAGTACTACCATGAAACCAGCCCGTCTGATTCTAACACAAACCTAGCCTGAGCAGTGTAGCACTAACAGAAATCCTCACTGTGGCATTGCGAAGGGAGAAAGCTTTTTCTGCTGGAAAAAATCACAACCAGCTCTGAAGGACTGCAGTGCACATCATCTCAGCGGGGACAAACGGGAAAGCAAACAGGAGATGCACCAGCAGCGATGCTCTGCCGGCCACACAGAAAGAACTGCGTGCGAGGGGGTAAGGAAAAAGCTCTTGGACAACAGGATCACTGGTCACAGGGCTATACAGCCTCCCTTGATGATTCAAAGCCTCCGGAGACACCTTATAAATGATGGAGGACACACGGACTACAGAACAGCTTTTCACCCTGTAGCTGGACCCCTCATGCCCGGCCAGCTTCCACGCGGGCACCACTTCTTCCCCCCATTTCTACAGTGCCATCAGCGG